ACACATATTTCTCTGGACATAAAAAAATGTTCACTTGTAAGTTCTGTGGGCTCTCTTTTTGTTGATGTGATATCAGTGACACCAGCATGACAACAGTCTGCCTGCGGGGGCAGGTTAGAAAGTTCCCATGTACAGGGCCTGGCTGGAGTGCTTTTTCTGTTTAAGCTTCCTGGAACCCTATTTCAACTCATTTGTCAGTCAGTCTCAGGATTGTTCTCCCTATGTGATGAGCCCTCGTTTTAGCAATCACTGTACCTTGGAGAGGAGATAACAGTCTTCCTCTATGGCAGCTTTAGTCACTGTTATGGAAGTGAATTACAGTTTATTTTTTAGCAGGTTTGCCAACTCTGGTGACCTCTTATCATGGGTCGGATGTCACTGCAGCAAATGCACATTTCAAATGAGAACTCTTCGGGCCTGACTGATACCATTGACTTGAAATAGACAAAGGATCTGGAAAAGATTGGTTTCTGTGACTTTGATGAGAAGCACCTGCTGTGCAGGTTGTCCAAAGCTAAAGTCTCAGGGTACAGAGACGGGCTAAAAGGGCGCAGCTAGGGGCACAGCGAGGGGACTCTTTATTGCTAACTTTCCCAGATGTTCCTTCAAAGAGGAGGGCAGTGGCAGGGCTTGGGTGGACTGCAGCAACCCTAGCTGTGCTTTGAAATGAAATTTTCATGCAAAGTCTGTGGCCATGGGTTTCCAGAGAGTAGACTGATGCCAAAGCCACATCCTCCACACAGTGCTTTGATTTTAGAGTTGGCTCTTAGACTTTGAACTGGGCCCGGGGGAGTGCTGGCTGCAGACAGGTGTGAAATGTTCAGTCCGGAGCTCTCAGTGGCAGAGGGCTCCTCTGGCTTCCCCTGCTGGCCTGCTTCAAGCACCAGGGTGGGTGCCTGCCTGCACAGGATGCTGTCAGCGGGCCCGGAGACCATGAGTCTGCCCAGGGAGTCATCTTGGTGAGGGTTAGAGGAGATCTGGAGGACAGGCCTCCCTAGGACCAGATATGTGGTAGGTGGACAGGAGCTTGCTGATCGGTAATCTTTAGATGTGGGAGAGGTGAAGCTTTGTGTACACCGAGGGTCAGAACAAGAGTGGAGAGAGCCTGCTGTATGCATTCCTCTTCCATGCCTTGTTTCTGCCTACCAACCTCATGTTACGTCTCCACAGTCTACTGGTTACTCATCCTCTCCCCACGGTCTCCAGTCTTCACGTATTTCACTGTGTCTCACTCCAGGGTGCCATTGAGACAGGACAGTTTAGTGACCACAGCATAATCTTTGTAGTTGGGCAAATTTAGGTTGATTCCTGCCTGTTTCTCCCTAGTCATGTGGCTTTACATAGTAATTTTATCTCTGCTTCAGTTCCCCAAACTATGGTAAATGAGTTAGATCTATTTTTCAACGAGAAAATTAAATCAAATAAAACGTTGTTAGGGCAAAACACAGTGCTGGGTTTATTTTGGCCACCCAATAATTGATAGCTATTATTATTACTATGATGATTACTATTAATAAGACTGTTACTTTCTCTCATTTCAAATCCAACTCAATGCAAATCATGAATCTTGCACCAGATTTCTGTGCAGCTCTGGTGACTTAAGTCATAACAACTTTATGTTCCTAGAGGTGTCTTGGGGTGCAGGTAGATGTGGATGATGATGGTCTTGAGGCCCACCTGCTCTCCTGTTCCACAGCTTGGTCAAGCTCTCTAAGATGTTACTGTGACTTCCTACTGGTCCCAACAGTTCAGTCATTGCCTCAGTTGGAGCTATTTTAACAAAGGAACTATTTCTCTTCCCTCATAAACTTCCAGGTCGTAGAGTCCTAAGAGTTTTGAGTCATAAGAGGAAGAAGCTAGGGGATTACAGCTGAAGCTAGCATAGAACCTAGCACAGGTGAATTGTCTTTTCTGTTTATCCAGATGTTTATTGAGTAGCTGATCAAAGGCATTGTGCTGAGTCCTGAAAATTCAGTGAAGAGCCACAGACTGTTGCTTATGAGCTGTCGTCTGTTAATTGAAGAACATAACCTACTACTAGGGTCTTCGTTATATAGGGAATGGAAGGCAGAGAATTCTTCCCACAAAAGCAGTGTCCAAAGTGAAAATTTCATAGAAGAAAACGATGTTAGTCAAAGAAGGGTAAGAATGATGATTTCATGCAGTGAAAGAGCAGCAGATGCAAAGGTTCAGACGTGGAAGAGGCTGTGGGACATTCCAAGACCAAAAATTAGTTCATTTGGAACTGAAACAAAACGTGCGAGGGTCACTGTTGGAACAGCATAGAAGACAGCACGGGCGGAGATAGAAGGCTGCTTAGCGCGTATGACAGTGATTCAAGAAGACACTACAGGAACCTGGGACTCAGGTACTGCTAGCTGTGTGTGTACAGAGAAATAGGGAGGTGGGAAAGAGATTCAGGTGAAAACAGGAAAGACACTGTTAAAGCTTGAATTGTTAAGGAAAGAAAGAGGGACATGCCCAATCTGCAGAATGTGTCCTGTGCAGCCAGGTGGACAGAGGTGGACAGTGTCCTGTACTGGGGATGCCATAAGGGAAGACTCTGACAGTGGGAGAAAACCTCTGATGGCGTTTACCTGGCTTGCTATCTCTGGGGTGCACCTGGCCACCTCTCAGTTCCTGTGACTATGATAGTGTGTGGCTCCTCTAAACCTACCAGAGGCTGCACACTACAGTCACCTAAGGAGCTTGACAACACCCCGACTATGCTGACGGTAAACCAGCTCCTCCAGTGTGAGGCTAGCCATCGGTGCTTGCTGTGTTAGCTGTGCCTGTAGTTGGTGCCTCCCATGGATGCTGGTGGGGTTAACTACTGGCCCTTTTCACTCTAAAAGGTGCCACCTAGATGCTTATGGAGGCTTGCCAGCTATGGGCAGGAAGGGTTAATAGTTTCAGAAAGATGGTGGGACCTAATTAATTTGGATTGTAATACTTGGACAAGTTTGGCTCCAGGCCAGAATAATTTGTACTTTAGGGGAAGTAAAAGTTATATGCAGAGGACTCTGAGATGGCAGGGGTCTTCCTTGTTTGGTGTGCCAATGAGACGGACCCTTTCAGGCTTCCACACCATCTGCTTCCTGTGTGTAGATTGATGATTACACAGACGTTTTGCCTGTGCAGAGCAGACCCAGCCCTCACATCAAGATACAGTTGATTATAATTGAAACTTCAATTAATTTGTTTACATTTCTATGCTATGTGCTCGCTTCCAATGGTTGACAACACTTCCCTTGGTGTGCCAGCAGCTCTGTGGAATCTGTGTCTCAGAAAATGCAAACCTGGCTTTTCAAGAATAGAGACAGGTCTGTGATCCCAGTTTTAAGATGTCATTGCACTTTTTCACCAGGAAACAAAATTACAGGCATTTAAAATATCTAATAATTTATTTTCCTGGTTGTGATTGGTCTTTCCCCCCTTAGTGTTATTGATAAGGCTTAAATGTAGAAGCCACATTATTTAGATTGTTGTTGTGTTATTGTTATGTGTCTTTGAGTTGCTTGCTACTTATAGTGACCCTGTGTATAGCATCTCTGAACCTAGCTCTCATCTTGAATCAAATTCATTGTCTCTGACACATCTACCCCCGTTAACCCAGTCACAGAGTCAGTCCATCTCATCCAAGGTCTTCCTCTCTTGTTTTGTCCCCTCCTTCTTTCCAAGCGTGACATTCTTCTCCAAGTTATTTAGATTACTAACATATAATTATCCTATAAAACCAAGTGTTTACCTACTTGGTAACCTACCTCGTAATACCCTGTCCCTGTAACATACCAGTGCTTATACACTTTTGGATGTGGACATGAAAGCTTTACCTATTATTTATTGAATAATTATTTTGTCAAATAATATGCAAAGCACTTTGTGGCTGCAGCTTGTTGAAACTGTCCTTCAAGGGAGGTGACAGAGGTTTTGGCGTGTGGTTAAGGAAATGGCAGCCAGCAAAGCTGGGTGGACGGTGTTGAGCCACTCGGCTGATAAGTGCGAGAGACATGTTCGTCAAAGCTTTCCCTGTTCACTCTCTGATTTTTCTTCAGCTCCGAGGTATTGTTTTTTGTTTCCCTTCCTAGATTTTCAGAGGCTGTTCCTAGTTAGCTCTGACATGTTTTGGATGAGTTTTCCAGTGAGGTCCAGGGTACAGGTGGCTTTGAGTGTGGGTAGAAACCCTTGGTCTTGGGCAATATAGTGGGATACCGTGCACTAGTCACATCCCCCGAAGAACACTCAAATGCAGAGTATTGGAGGAAAGGAACCTCAGATGCAGTCTTTCTCTTTGCCAAAGGCCAAGTCAGCAGGTCACTTCTCATCACTCTGGGTAGACTGTCAGAGTCAGATAAAAAGTAATAATGTAAAAGAAAGGTTTGAGCAAGTCTCAAGAACTAAATATTCCATAATGATTTCAACATACCTTATAACCTCAGTGAAATTAGAAGTGGTGAATATAATCGTTTAATTAGCTGGTGGTACCATGACAATGCTTTGCATATTTTTTTCAAGACCATAAATCCACATCTCTCTCTTCGGTTTTCAGCTTCTTAAGTTATTTGGGAATTTTCAGGTAAAAAATTATGTCATTCTGGAGGTTTTATTGAATTTAATCCTTTGGAGTGTTGTCACAGCAGTTATTCATCTGAAATTCTTATAGAGCGTCACCAAGCCTGAGAACATAGGTTTAATTACAGTTTTGCTACTTTATTTTACAGTAAAGACATGGCTTGCTAGAGCACACTCAGCTTTTTCCCCACCTCAGTTATTCTTCCCAAGTACCTAAGTCCTTTCCCATAAACTTGGTGAACAGTGTGACCTTTACAAAAGGGTGATTGTTGGTGTCTTAAGTGTCTTAAGAGAAAATATTCTATTGTAATCTTTTTAATATTATAATGATTTGAAAATCTGATGTAATTATGTAAAAATGTTTACATTCTTTCCCATTGTTTGATGTCATTCTTTTATATTTTTTTCTCATTTGCTTGCGTACTCAGGAAGTTGAGGTAGGTTTTTGACTTTTCAACTGTATGTAGACATAGCATCAAAATAGTTGCCAAATAAAATGTAAATTTCATTCTAAATCCTAAATCTCAGTGGTAAATATTTGTTTTAGCTCAGTGAACCAGCACTGCACATATTTATTTTTCATTGGTATATCCAGGGGATGCAATTTATCAAATGCATATAAACAGTCCATTTGCGGCTTTATCTTTTCTCATTAGTTACAGTACAAGTATGATTGCCAGTTATTATCTGTGTTTTACTGGTGGGTTATTTATTGAAAGAACAGAGCAACTGACATTGTTATTTTCGAAATCATTTTGTCTAAGGCCTGCAGGACTTTAAAGCAAATGTCAGACCAATTTATCAAAGAATTGCTCTATTCAGGATGAAAGTGATTTAGAGCATGTGTATAAACAGATACTGTACCTGTACTGTGTGCACGCGCGCACACACACACAGACACGTGCCTGTGACAATCAGGAAACTTTCACAGGGATATAGAGATGTTAATCAAGGTGTAGCAACTTATATTTGGTATAATTTAGCAAACAATTAATGTGTGCTGCGGAATGATGCCTTGGGGAAGTGCAGGTGAGTAAGACCTCCTCCTCCTCAGAGTAACCTAGATGTGAGTGAGTGTAGGTGATATATATGCATATGTTGTTGTTGCTGTGTGTCATTGAGTCTCTTTCACTCATAATGGCCCTATGAGCAATGGATGGAAACCCTCCCCTTATCTGTGCCATGCTCGTCATTTCTGATCTACTCGAGCCCATTGTTACAGTCACTATGTCAGTACATCTTGTTGAGGGTCTTCCTCTCTTATGCTGACCCTCCACCTTTCTAAGCCTGATAGATACAATGCATATAGAAGTGTATTCATATACATGGTCCTAGTCTCTGTTGTACAGAGATTCTGTGAATGGTGTCTGAAAAAAGAAGGATAGGGTACCTTAAGTCAGTGCTCTGAGTGGGGATAGTGGGTTGGACTACTTTTTTTCAGAAGGATTCTTACTGGAATTCTTCAGTAGGCACAGAAGGGGCAAACCCAGTTGAGAAGATTGGGAACAAGCTCATTGCTTGTCCAGAATTATGAATAGGAACACCTTAAAAATAGTTGCAAGAGAAACACATCCGTTCCCCCAAAATGGAATGTTTTGTACCTCACATCAGTTTGCTTGTTGTTGTTGTTGTTGCTGTTGTTAGGTGCTGCAGAGTCATGTGTGACCCACAGCCACCCTGTGAACAGCAGATCTGACCCCTGTCCTTTTCCTGTGTCATCCTCACACTTCCTGACACACTTGAGCCCATGCGTCAGTCACTTGCTTAGTAAGGATTTATACTGCCCATAAATGAAAGTTACAGGCACTTGTTACGTTATCCAAGAGGTGCATTATAATCTAGAACGTTCACTTTTCCAGTGACTTCTGTTATCTTTTCAGAAGGTCTCTTCCCACCCACGACCAACCATCCCTCTCTCCTAATCTTCCTGGTCAAAAGTTTTAATATTAACCTAAGCTAGTTTGCATTGAATCCTTTTTAAAAACAGTTTGTCCACAGTCCTTGAATTACTCTCTTAAAGAGTTTTGGGTCTGGTAAAGTGCGACCTGGCTCTGTGTCTACAATCTTGGCTTGAATCCACCTGGCCTTGCAGGACACGAGTTCTTTTGGGGTCATTATGGTGGACCTGGGCACACACCTTGCTTCACCTTGCTTCCTTCTGTCCACATCTCTCTTGCTCACTCCTAGTCTGTTCAAATGAGGCTCCCATTTATTTTCCAGGCTGGCGATTTGTATTATCTCAATAGTCCTTAGGTGACTCTTCCTGGTTCAAACAGTTCAGCTAAAATACATACAAGGGAGAAGCTATCAGTTCCACGTGAACTGAATGCCTTTGTGGTATCCGAAGCTTTAAGGTATAGAATAAATTGCATCAGCGTATTCCTAATCAGGAACAGAGTTGGGTTTCAGAAGTCCTTTGCGTTTGGTTCTGCCACCCTATTTCTTCCTCAGAGTCTGCTGTGACAGTGTTTGGAACCGAGACACACACCACTTAATAGACAAGGCCCTAAGCAATATTGAAGCTGAATTGCCTTAGGCATTTTGAGGCTATGGGATGGACAAGAGAATGAAAATCTAGGCTCCTTTTCAAAATGAGCTGGAACCCCAGGCTTCCCAGTTGCTTATGATCTTCTGCAATGAAGAGCATAATCATACAAATTATAGCAGCAATATTTTTGTGTCATTCATGCTCGGCAGATGCTTTCTTTGGAGGGTACAGTGTAGAGAATGTCCTGTGGCTGGCTAATATATAGATACTGTAAAATGGATTTCCTTTCCCATGACTGCTTATCAGAATAGAGTATCTTCAACACTGATGAAAATTCAGAATTAAAATCCTTTTCACCAGCCACTTGGTGCCACTAATTTCACAGGATCTGATGCCATGATAGTGAGATTTTTAGTTAGTGAGATAAGCCGAGAAATGCAGTTTTATCTATGTTGATCAGCTGCGCAGAGCAAAAATAATTTGGGCCCTGATTGCTCCCCACCTTTGATTCTACAGATACCTTTGAGTAGGAGATTTCTCCACTCAATTTCTGATAGACACCCATTTTACTCTACCATAAGCACCATCCCCTTCTTCCTAGAGATAGACATTTGTTGCTTTTTAACTATGATTTTATGGTTCCGTTTATACTATTTGGATACCCAGGGATACTTCAGAATTTTGGACATTAGCCAATGTGTCGAAATCTAAAGCTTATTTAAATATACAAGTTCTTCAAGATTTTAAGTTGTTGTTATGAGCCATCTAGTTGAGTCTCTTCTAAAAAATGAATTGGATACTTTTCATTTACAAAATGATATTGAAAAATGGGCTTTTTTTCAAGCCTGTTCTCTGCCCCCTCTAACCAAGTTCTCACTTAGTTATACGACAGCAGTGTAGCCTATAAAATATAAACATATAGTTAACACTGCCATACTTCATTCCTTGGCCCTTGTCATGTAGTAGTGGGAGTTATTGAACTTAGTAAACGGCTATATTTAGAAATACAATTTTCTGTTTAGGTTTATGCATTAAAAAAATAACTTTTGATGTCTTGCTACCATGGTGAACTACTCTGAAAGGAATTGTCGTAGGAGGTTGTAGATAGACTTAGAGAACTGCAGGATAAAGGTAAAAATAGTAAGAGATCCAATTTACAGGTCTTATAGGGAGTGTTGAAAAATCCCTAAAACATCATTCCAGCCTAGACCTGAACTTCCTATAGCTCAACTTCCAGACAGATGATAGGCCGATTTCAACAGCACTACCAGGGAGGAACTCACTTCTTAGATCAACTTTAAGAGATCAAAAAGGTACCACTTGCCTGGGGAAAAGCTCAGAAGGCAGGAAAGAAAGATGAATGGAAAAAGTAAACACTGAAAGAAGTGGTAAAGTGCTATATTACAGTGTGGGAATTGCCAAGAATGTCAGGAAACAAAATGTGAAAGAATTGTTGAAAGGGGAAACAATTTGCTCTGTAAACTTTCACCCATATCATCATGAAAAGTTTATTTTTTAAAAAAATCCCCAAAAAACAACAAGACACAAAAACCCAACAAAACACCCAAACCTAATTAACTGTTACTGTGGTCCTTGCAAGTCTTTTCAAAAAAGCTTCAACACTAAATGATAAAATTACCAGTCAAGACACAAATTCAGGAAGATATGCTTTGCCTAGCAAGTTTGATCTGACACATCCAGTATGCCTTTCATCACATTCTGAATTTTAAAAGACCACAAGTTTATTGGGCCAGAAGGTAGATCAGAGGTCAGGCAGGGCTCTGGGGCTCTTTTGGGATCTGACCTGGATTCCAGGCACACACATCAAGAACATAGCACCACAGCAGTCTGGGAAAGGCCCAGCACACCTGGTGTGAAGATTGTAACTATTAGAAATGGATGCAACTATCGATAGCACAGGTAGCGATGGAGCTGTTTGTTTTGGGTTTTTTTAAAAGAAAATTTCCTTTTAATTGTGATTTTTAACGAACAGTTACAGAGAAGTTAGATTTTTATTCATTCATTGTTGCACATTTTACCCCTCTCCCAGTTCAGTTTTTTAAAAAATACTCATTCATTGTTGCTTAATTACCTACCCACACCATTCTCTTTGCAGTGATGTTTGTTTTAAGATGGTGTAACACATACGCTGCGCTGAATTTTTCATTTCCGTAGGAAAACAATATAAAAGGCAAGCTGGGTTAGGGCCACCAGAACATGGGAAAAATTATAGTGCTGGCAATGATGGTGTGTTGGACCCAGGCTACAGATAGCTGTCATGATGCCCTTTGAACATCCCTGGGACTCAGACAGAGATAAGTAAAATATCAAGAGCTGAAGCTCTAGATGAGACTTTCCTTTATCATTGGTTCATTCTGCCTAGAATTGGATGATGTTTTCCCAGCACTTCACCCAGCTTGCAGGGTGCATTAGTCACTACAGCCCCAGCCTGCTAGCACTCCCCTACTGGACCTGACAGGGACACTGTGGAGAGAGTGTCCCATGTGCTTCAGCACCTCACACTCTGGCCTCTAGCACAGCACTCTCCGCTGAGAGACCAAAAGCCTCACTACCATGCCCCTGAGTATCCCCTCAGGTGGGCTCTGGTGCCTAGAACACGTTCATATGTGCTTATGACCCTGACCCCTGTGTTCTGTGATAAAGGATTTTATCTTTTGCTTATTGCCAAAGTTGTTATACTTGAAGTTTTTGTTGTTTTCAGTTCCTACCTCACTGTTTCCTGCTTTGGCAATCCTATTTATTATGACAGGGCAAGCAAGGGCAGTGTAATTCTGAGAATCATTTTTCGCCCTAGCTTGGCCTTGTTGGGCAAGGGGCTGTCTGAAGGACTTGTTTTGCATAATGAGTTTTCACTCAAGGTGTACTTTCACATTCTGGCAGCAATTAGGCAGTATTATTGCATTTGCAATGAGTTTTAGGTATTCTAATGCAGAGATCTGCTTTTAGAGGCTTTATATTTAAAACTGTGATTTTCCCCAAGAAATATGTAAAAATGGCAATTATAGTTAACCTGTGAAAGTGACAAGGTCCAGAAGAACGTTTCTCATTCCATCCAGGTTATAAAGTATATGGAAGTCATTAGAGGATATTCAGTTCCTGAGACCAGCTTAAACTTTTCTTTGACATCAAAGAGAATGTGACAAGTGAAATTAAAGTAAAGGAATTTGTCTTTTGCCCCAGCTCTTTCCAGTCAGACACATATCTTAACTTTCCAGGGGCTCCCATGTATTAGAACAGTATGTTCAAGTAGAAAATATTTCACAAGACTCCAAATTGCCCCTGAACATGGGTGCCATCCTCTGTATGTGAAGAGGACATTGATGAACCACAGTTGGAAGGATGGACATTTCATTATTGTTTTTCTCCAGTAATCCAAATGAGTTGGTGTCATGCTTGTTTGGAGCTAAGAGTATCAGAAAAAAAACCAAGCAAGAACATCACTACCATTGAATGATTATGACTCTTTTGAGCCTCCATCAGATTTGAGGTTATAAATCTAATATTTATTTAACTGTAGGCTGAGTGAAAGTTTACAGGACGAATTAGTTTTCCATTCATCCATTCATGCATATTTTGTTTTATGCTATCAGTTACATCCACATTGTGACCACACTTCACCCAGTTGTATACCTTCTCTTTCTTTAGTTGTTTTGTTCTCAGCACTCCCTTATTGTATATTTCCTTTTCCTTAACTCATCTCAGTAGGTGGCTGTTGTACATTTGCCTTTGAATTGTAGTGCTGGCAAAGAACAGTAAATCAGCCATGGCTTTTCTTTTTTAGATTTTATTATAATAATTTTTAATGAACATTTACAGAGATCTTAGATTTCCATTCATTCATTGTTGCACTTTTCTCCTCGCCCAGCCCTCCCCTCCCAGCCATGGCTTTAAAAAAGAACCAAACCAACCTATCTTTTAAGACATGCAGTCAGAATGCTCCTTAGGAGTAAAGAGCGTGAGACTGTCGGGGTGGGGAGGGCAATCCTTGGAAAAGATGATCAGTGAAGGAGAGGACCCTCTATGAGGCGGATCAGCAGCATGACTGGAGCAGTGGGCTTAAGCATGGTCGACATTGTGAGGATGGTGTCGGACAGGGCGGGATTTCATTCTCTTGTGCAGAGGGTCACTGTGAGCTGCCTCTGTGGCACCAACCACCAACAACATTATCTATTTACTGATTTACGTCTTCCCTTTCCTTCTCTTCCTATCCCTGGTAACCAACAAATAAATATTTCTATACGTGAACATTCAGCTTTTTATAATAATGAGGTTCTACAATATCTGTCCTTTTGTGACTTATTTCACACAGTGTAATAGTAGATGCTGGAAATCTTGATGGAAGGAGATTGATGGGTTTGAACTGCCAGCTTTTCAGTCACTTAATCTGCTTTTCTACCAGGGCTCTTTAAGGCTAAGTGCATTTTATTGATCATAAAAGCGAGAAATTAGGCAGCACCTTTTCTATCAACCTTTCAACCTTTAAAATAATTTAACATATTCTAGGCATTTCAGAAAGCAGAGTTCTAAAAGATTAGGATTGCATTTAAAATAATGTGGAGAGAAATATCACAGAGGGATTATTTTAAGATGTCTTCATGATAATTCATGGTGTAGACCTCAAATACTTTCTGCCCAGACGGGTGAAAACGGCCAGTTATACTGTAAAATTAATGCCAGAGCTAAGTGGGCCAATTTCTTGAAGTTAAAAAGAACTTAATACAGATGCCCCAGGAACCAGAAGATCCTGTTCATGTTTATTCATGCTGTGCAGAACGGAGTCACTGCCCAAGATGCAGTATGTTCGGATTTCTCTCTAAATCCAGTTTCCTAAAATCTGTTTAAGGCTTACGAGGATGCAACAAAGATCTAATAAAGTCAGATGACTGAATGACACAGAGACCTCGATGATTCAGATGAGCTCATGGTAGAGATACACCATGGCAGGAGACATCATGGACAATAATTGAAAATAACTGAGCACTAACATGTAAATTAACCGCTCCAGAAGAGAAACTGAAGGCCCACTTTGGACAGCTCCCCCCTGAAACTGCAGCATGCTGAATACTTGCCAAACACACAGCAAATATTTAGTATTTTTAGGTGTATTTAGGAAGAAATGAACTGGAAAAGGGCAAGTACCTTAAAGATGATGTAGAGAGAACATATGATGGTATTCTGTCTTGCAAGTTGTGTTTAGTTTTGCTGACATAGTAAGTGTGTCATGGGGTCAATGTACACAGAAGGAAACAATACTGAGGAGCAGGAGTCCTTTGAAAGAAGAGAGTCATCAGCACCGGGCGAGAAGTGGGATAGCTATGAAAATGTGAGTGGCTGAGACCTTTGCATTTTCACAGCAGTGAAGTGTCTCACCTCTGAGCAGAAACTGACGTAAGCTGCATGCAAGAAAGACATAGTTGTGAATAGACACATTGGCCAGCTCTGTATTATTTTTGTTATTATTTATCATGCCTGGAACAAAGGCACTAAACTGAAAGCATATATTTGATTAGTTCTAACATTTGAATGGCCTTTTGGTTTTTGATCTTGCGAGTGTTAGAAAACTGGAACTGTGTACCACTTGTTATGTGTCTCCATGTAAAAGAAATGTTGACAGTTGGATTATCAGCTGTTGCAAACACAGAGGCTTAATCATAAGTGAGAGCAGCAAGGCATCACCTGCGGTATAATTGATAGCAAATATACCTTGTTCTTAGAAGTTGTCTCAGCTTGTATGTCAAACCAAGAAGAGCAATGCTGTCTCCTTACTGGGCTGAAGTGTTTATACTATTCCAAGTGTTTAATACAAACAGTTTGAAAGACAAGAATTTGCAAAGTAAGTTGATAGTTTTGAATGCACATTAATGCTCATTTGGGGTAAAGATTTCTACGCTGTTAATGCTTTCCTTGGTGTTTTGGGAGGTGAGGAGAAAGGCAGATCTTTGTGCAGTTATGTAAGGTGCTTCCTGAAATCTAATCGGTTCTCTACTTTTTTCCCCTTATATAGGATGATTATTTCAGAAGCTGGAATCCCAACAAGCCCTTTGACCAAGGTAAAGGATGCACTATTTCTTGCTATATGTGCTTTGGAAAATGCTGAGCTGAATTTTCCTTCCTTGCATACTGGGTTGGTATTTCCATAAAGGTCAGCTCGTTGTCTGATTTGATAGACTCTGGGGACTGAACTAACTGGGATGACAGAGATGATCCTATCAAATCGGTTCTTTCTCTGAGGTTGTACCTGTGACAGATTTTTCAGTATTTTCCATTAAAGTGACCAGTCCAGTCTTATGACTGGTTTTGTTAGAAGGTGGTTAGTAAAATGCCGTGAGGCTAATCTGGATGATTGCGGGACTGAGTCCAGTGAGTTCATTGTTGAACCAGTCTGTGAATGAAAAGGCACTCCGGTTCATACGAGCCAGGGGAAGAAAACTTTCTTTCTGGAAAAAAAGTCCCCTGAGGCTTTCAAGAGCCCTCCTGTTTGTTAAATAGCTTCTTCATCGTGTCAGAGTAGAAGCTTCTTTAGAGTGGAAACCACTTGTGTTTAAACCTTGTACTCAGAGGGCCTTTTCTGTTCACACCGGCCAACACAGAGCTGGTCTCCTGGTGGAAGTTGCAAAGCATTAGCAGCATCTCTCCTGTAAGTTATTTAAGTCAGAATGTGGCGCTGCGTTGAATCACATCTCTGTTTCCTGTTCCGTGTGCTGCCACCGCTGTAGGCACAGACCCCTGCTGCTGAACATAATGGTGGATTGTGTTTTAAGTACGTAGATACAGTTAATGCCAAAACCGAGTAAAATGTATGCCACTCCGGTCTCAAAGAATGCACACTTCTGAGAATTAGCTTTAGTTTAGGTGTTTGATGTGAGCATGGTGGTTAGCAAAGCACGGTGACTCTCTCTGCCTTCTGCGCTCCCTCTTTAATGAGTTACTTTCTCTGGATTCTGACCTGGAGGGGGAGGTTTTAAAATGTCTCTGTGTGTGTGTGTGTGTGTGTGTGTGTGTGTGTGTGTGTGTAGCACATGCCTTGAAGTAGTATACCATTTCTCTTCCTCCCCCGCCCATTCCCCTTCTTTCCCAAGCATTGTTGTATTCCCACAAAGCTCCTAAGCTTCATGCCAGGTGTGGGGTACAGAGGGGGGTTAAGGGATGGTAGCTTCCCTGGAGAATGTGGATACTAGAGGTAAACAAGTTCACTGTCGCAGTGGAGTGTGGCCTGTGATGCAAGTGAGGGAAGCATGCGAGGATATAGGAACTTTTATTGGGGGTTGTGAGAGTGTGTGTGTGTGTGTGTGTGTGTGTGTGTGTGTGTGAGAGAGAGAGAGAGAGAGAGAGAGAGAAAATATGAGTGAGAGGAAGAAGAAGGGGCAGGGAGGGAAGGTGAGAGAGGGAGAGAGACACAGAATGTCAGGGAAAGTGTAGCTTTGCAGGTTTTGTCTCTTGGTTTTGACTTTTCTCTTTCAGCAGCCTCTGAGGGCCTCACTCCTTTGCAACTTTAACAGTGACCAAGTTCTTATGATTCTATATGTTAAAGGATATGAGGGCATTTGCAATTTAGTTTGAAGATTGTCCATCAAACACACCACTTGAAGATGAGTTGATCTCAACTTAGAGCGACCCCTGCAGGACAGAGTAGTATTGCCCAGCCTGCTTTCCAAAGCTGCTAATCTTTATGGAAGTTACATCTTTCTCCCATGGTGGCTTTGAATTACCAACCTCACCATTAACCATCAAGTAATTAACCACTGTACCACCCGGGTACACACAAAAAAATTTTAAAAAATTCAATAACTTCTTTAGAAAAATAGTTTCATTTGTGAAGAATATATGCCGAGCAGCACACTCCCTGTGTCGATATAAGGTGCTCTGAAAGCAGCCCACCAGGCTTGTGTTGCTGAAGTTAATTCAACTGAAAATCGTAATGAACTTTGTTTTGTTTTGTTACTTAAAGGAAGAAACTAATAAATACCCGTCCTATAAAAATTCTTCTCCAAGGCTTGCAAATAAGTACAAATGCTTTGCCAGGAGGGAAGAAAAAAAATATATTTACTAATAATCCGTAGGATGCAGGCGAGCATCATTGGCCGCTTGCAAATATAAATGATTGCTTCCTTTCGCTTGAGGCTTATAATACAAGCATCAAAAAGAACATGATGTTTAAATCTGTTCCACTAGAAAGTCCAAAAACTCAGCTTCCACTCAACTCATTGCCATTGAGTGTTGTCATTGAATTTTAGAGGCTTTAAGTCACATGGGAAGAGATTGCCCATCTGTCTCCACAGGAGGGACTAGTGGATTCAGATTGCCTGTCTTTGGGTTACTACTGCAGCTTCTTACCCATGAGGCCACCAGAACTCCCTGAAAGGTTTAGGAAGGTTTTTTTCTTTTTTTATTTCTTAGGAATAGTGGCAAACATGCCTACCTGAGGCGCCCTGTGCTTGTTCCCTCTTTTTCTAATCCTATATGCTTGGAACTTAGCTGCTTAGATAAATCCTCCAGGAAAAAATCTAATGACTTTATGGGTTATAATTGAGAACCTTAGCCTAGTAGCCCCACTTTCTACCTCAGGTGTAGCTGCTGTTGGCTATTTATATACAGAGCCATGGTGAGAGCAGGCAGAGCTGAGAATAGCCTTCACTTAAAATATCAGCCCCAGCAGATGTCATCAATTACACTGTGTGCTGCTCAATAAAAATGGGAGGTTACTATATCAGCGCTGACACCGCTTGGTGAAATAGAAACCACAGGCACGGAAGATGTGGAACATTTCATCTTCTAAAAAATAGGAGAATTGCTGAACTCCTGTGGAAGTTGTCTGTTACAGAGGGAAGTCATTTCCCCTCCTATGCTAAGGGCGGGGGGATCCCATCTAATATGGTTAAGGTGGTTTCGTGCTTGAGGAAAACATGATCTGCAGAAATGAGACTTGTTGAAAAGCATTGTGAAGTTTCATATGGCAAATGTGGGCTGGGGGGAGGTCCTTTAGGAGGGAGATGGATGTGGAGGGGCATTGAAATGTAGGGAGAGCAGAGGGGCAGGAAGGAGTGGAGTGGAGAGTTCTGGTATCAGGCACTCAGAAAAGTGAACCTGAGGCCGATTTTGAAGGATCCTCCATATGAACCGACCAAGTTTGAGGGTGGTTTTCTTGGCAATGGGAATCATTGATGATTTTTGAGCAGAGAAATAAAAAAATGAAGGAGGTAATGTTTTAGAAGTTTTGATTTGGTTACTCAATAATAGGGAGCTCTGGTGGCCTAGTCATAAGAAGCTGTGCTGCAATCCTGAAGGCGTATGGTTCGAATCCACCATCTGCTCTGTGGGAGAAGGATGGACAATCTCTTCCCATGTGATTTACTGCCTCTGAAAACCCACTTGAGGGTCAGTTATGAATCAGTTCCTATTCGAAGGTACACAACTACAACTAACATTTACATTAAGAATTCAAAGAATTCTTGCAAAATTACATCCGGTAGGTGACTTTCCTGTCTTATCATTCATTGCCTTGGAGTCCTGGGCTGGGGCTGTCATAATGATCAGATTTGTCATATGCGTCTCAGTAGCTTGACTTCTGAAATGCCCGTGTGACTTCTGATTGTCTTATGTGTTGGTGTGAATGGTTTGACTCAGAGCAGCTGGTGAGTTGCAAGTACCAGCCCTTTGATTAGTAGCCAAGTGTGTAACCACTGCACCACCAAAGCTCCTAAGAAATACTTACTTAACTATAATTGCCCCTCTATTTTAAGATATTTACTGAACTCTGAACAATAGGGCATCATGGAGTGAGCATTTATCATGTAATTGCTTCCAAGACAGAAGAAAAGTGCTTCCTCTGAAGCTCCCCCCACAATGGGCCTGAGAAGGTCTTTAACTTATTATCTTTAAGTGAATCATTAAGGCTTCCATCAGTGGAGGATAATAGTCATCAACTTCAGGCTTTCTGAATAGGAATCATATCAGATTTGGGTGAAGTAGTATATCCTTTTTGATTGTAATAATTTAATGTAAAATCCTCAGAGATAGTACAGACAAGAGTTTAGAATTGAAGGAACAATGATTAATTCAGGTGTGTAATTTTCTTTATGAAGCCCACAAAGAAGAACATGCTGCAGAGAGAGCAGCAGCTGCACAGTTTGATGGGACACTGGACAAAAGCAAATGGACCTCCTGTCTTGGTTAGGCAGCGAAGAGGCCCTTGATAGACCTGGCTGCTAGCCTGACTGAGGTTGAGGGCTCTGGAATGACTGCAGAGTTTTAGACTAACTCTACCACTTTACCTTTTTGACATCTTTGCTCAGCTTGTTGCTGGTTGCTATGGAGTCATTTCTAATCCAGGAAGACTGCATGTGTGAAAGCAGAACCTGCTCCATAGAATTTTCTAAGCTGTCACATTTCGCAAGCAAATTACCAGGTTTGTCTACAGGTCAATTCAAGTCACTATCCGTTCAGTTAGTAGTCATGTGTTCAAACATTCTCTCTACTCATAGACTTCTCCCCTTAAACCCAACCCACTGCTGTCAAATCCATTCTGACTCATAGAAACTGTCCTAGCTAGTGCTGCTGTAATAGCTATGGCACAAGTGGGTGACTTTAACAAACAGAAGTCTGTTCTTTCACAGGGTAGGCATCTAGAAGTTTGAGCTCTGGTGGCCCAGTGTTAAGAAGCTGCGCTACAATCCCAAAGGGAGCAGCTGCAAGTTTGAATCCACCAGCTGCTCTACAGGAGAAGGATTAATTGCTGGAGGGTCAGCTATGAGTTGGTTCCAACTCAATGGCAAAGAACAGCTCTAAGGGGAGGCTTTCTCTGTCAGTTCTGAAGGAAGGTCCTTGCTTCCCCCAGAATTTATAGACCCATCTCTTTTTCCTTTGTCAAAAAAATTTCCCATGTTGGGTCCTGGTCTAAAGGATGCATTCTGCTCCTGGTGATTCTTTTTTGCTCCTACTAAGGTCCCCTTTTATCTGCTTATTTTTCTCTCCTTTCATCTCTTGGAAGGTAAAAGGCATTATAGGCTACAGTCCAGGAACATTTCCTTTACATCAGAGTAGGGCTATGTTG